GCCTCTTTATGGATAATACAGAACCCGTTTCCAATTTTTTTGTCATCAGTTTGCGAGCTCCACATGAGATATTCTTGTGTCCGGATATTTTTGCTAGAATTTTTGTATAACTACACGAAAACATGATTCACTAGTACCATAATACAGTACTAAATAAATTCTCTCTTTCACGGTTAACATCGCATGAAAAGACTTAATCTCACCAACATAAGTTGTAAGTTTTATGGTTTCTATGGTTACATATCATAAATTGAACTTCAATTTCAATTTTCAATTTAGAAAAAAGTCCAACTTTTACATAAAAATTGGAATAATTAGTTAACTTTTATAGTTAGAGTATAAAATTGATGCGATTTAGTAATTTGAACATATCCGACGTATTATTTATGCTGAGATAAGTTTGAAAAATCAGTAACAAAAATTTTTTTCCTCTTTGTAATTCGATCCGGGGACATACTGTAGATAAGATTTTTACCTTACAAGTAAGTGAGAGCGAATATCCCAAAACTTACTCCAGATCGATGATCGTATGGTACTCTTAGAAAAATGTTTGAAATTTTGACGAAGAGAGGCATGGATTATTATTATTATTAAAGATATACATATACAACATACGCACAATCCTAATCATCTATAAGAATCCTCAAAGTGATAGAAATAAAATTTCTAAACAATGGGCCGTCACACATTTTTTTTATTGACTGACTTATTCGATAATTTAGCAAAATTGCAGACTTCTATGTATAATTTTTTATTTTTCCAATGGGGCTTTAGTGCTTCAAAAAAAAATGAAAATTTGAAAAACTTTGGATACGTCACCATCGTTTCGCACGCGATTGGTTTAAATAAAAATCAATAAAAGGTGCATGAACGAGATGCCACGAGAATCTTATACGCTAGAAGAAGAGGGTTTTATAGAGGGGATTTTGAATTTTAATATTAATTATTGCAAAAATTAAACAATTTTAGAATCAGAAAATGTTACCAATCCTTCTATTTTTACATAGTTTACCGATTTTCTGTTCTATTGAGCGTAACAGTCCCATTATCAGTGACAAAAAGATTAAAACGAATATGTTCCCTATCGCCAATTCTATTTTATTTATTATTATTATTAACACTATAGGCACAGAAACGGGACGAACCCACAAACTCTGTGCCACAAAATAATACAAAAACAAATCACTAAAAAACAATGTTAAATCAAAATTACTTTAACAACGCCAGCGTGTCTAGTTAATTGAGATAATAAAAATAATAACAATAAAAAATAAAAGGATTTAATAGAAGGATAAAAGGACTTTATAATAATAAGACATTGCCAAACGTTTAAATTCCCTACGTGAACTACTGAAGACATCGTCATTTTAAATGTACGTCTAAGAAGCTTTAAAAAACTGGAGATGAAAATACACAGGAATGAGGATAAAGATTGATGATCAATCAAGTGATTATTGCGAACACCTAGGAAGACATTCATAATATGTTAAGGAATCTCAGAGAGGAATATGAGAAGTGATGAAAATAAACATTAACAAAACAAAATATATGTGAATAAGATGGAAAGATGAGGAAAATCCAAAACTGCAACTATGAAAAATAAAACAATGTAAGGTATTCTTTGCTATGGTCGAATCAAATTGCTCTTAAAACAAAAATGAAAATCTATTGGACAACAGTGAAATGAACTCGGAAAGATCGGAAGATGCACAAATAGAGTTTACACTACAGCGGAGAGAATAGAGACCAGACAACTCATATGGTATGGACACGTCATGCGAATGAGAGAAACCGGCCTAAGAAAGAAAAAATCTCACATATTACCAAAGATGGAGATAAAAACATTATTATATATTATATTATAACTAAAACATTATATGGGCAACCTTTTACGAAGAATTCAATGGCATAGGTAGAAATAGAAACCATAATTGGTTTTGACTTAAAATAATTTGTTACTTTTTTCTGATAACAAATATACAGGTTGTTTCTGTAAGTCGTGCCATAATTTTAATCGCAAATACTAGAGTGAAAATGATGACGATTCGTGTAAAAATTTTTGATCTAAACCCATAAATTTCTAAGATTGGCCTTCAATGTTAAGAAATTTTCTTAAATATTTTCAATATGTAATAATTTTATCATAAGAAATCGTTTAAGATCACTATTGGAAATATCGAACCACGGGATGAATACTATAGTATTAATTGTCCTGTAACATTTTTATTATGTCATAAACCCTTAAATTATCCAACCGATTCTAAAAGCCTATTCCATTTTAAAATTATTTTCACTCATAGAAATTTTTGATTAGACGCATGGTTTTCGAGATATTTGCAAAAAGATATAACCTTAATTTTGCAATGTTTTCATTAATCGTAGATGCCTATGGAAACAAGTTGTAAGTAAAGACAACCTGATAGACAAAACATTACTAAATATCGAAAAACATTTACGTGAGACAGGAAATTACAAACAGAAGTATGTAAATAACGGGAATCTGAGATCAGTTCGTACACCCCAACTAGAAGAAAACATTTTGGATTTTATTTATTTATTAATCAATAGATGGCGTCAATGTGGCCAGGTCACAGACACACGAGAAGTAAGAAAACTCCATTGCAAAATAAAACCAAAAAGGTTTTATGCCTCAGCAAAGGGCATCTAAGGTCACCCTCAGGATTCCTGAACGACCATGCCTCTTCCACATTGGTTAAGCAAGCTGAGGATCAAACTTGTCGATTTTGCAACGACGAGTCAGAGATTGCTGAACATGTATGTATACATGATCTTCTTCTCTTTCTTAACCGTTAAATCTATTAGTTTTGATAAACTCTCTCTTAAATTTCTCTTAAAAAGTTGACTGACAGCTGTCTCTTCATTTCTATGGTGGTCTGGTTTCGAGCGAGTTATCTGGCTTTCTATGGAAATGGTTGTGCCAAAATCTCTCCGCTGAGTGCTGTCTACCCCATCTCACAATATCCTGAATCTCGCCTTAGTCTCCAATCTCGGAGTTCTTAATTCTGTTCTAACTCGTTTATTTCTGAGAAAAGACTTTCCTATACATACAGATCATAGATTATATCGCTGGTGAATTTACTCTACAACATTCTCTCTTTATAGCTTTTATTCCGAAGGTTAACTGGTTTCTTACACAAGTATATCAGGTAAGGGTTCGGTTGTTAGTGTGCTTTTTTAACTTCATCGCAATACTAGGGGTTGGCGCTTTTGGTTGCGTTGATGTTAATTTTTCTGTTATTAGACTGTTATACTCTAACAGGTTACCTCTGCGCATAGCAAAGTGTCGATACAATACCACTGGTACTAACTGGTATTGATCTCAAGAAGTAAATATTTTCAGACTATTCAATTTGTAGGTGTCTTAACATTCTATCAGTTATGTTATTGAATATATCCATTTTTGGTAACTTTTGATATTTCGAGGTTGGCAACACCAGAAGCGTAAAAAGTTGCGTCAGACACAAAAGCCGTTAAGATGAAGCATCATTTACGTTGTTGTTAAAAAAGTTGTTTTTTGTATAATTAAAATAGAAATAAAGGATTTTCTTATTTAAAGAAAGAATCTCTATTGACGTGTTTTAGGATACGTTAACAAGTTATAATTTTTTGGAATAGTGGTAGATTAATTTCTGTAAACCATCCATAATGGAAATTTTGGAAGGCTTCTGACTAACAAACGCAAACGGGGTCTTCGGAAGCTTTTGTAATAAAAGAGTGTATTGATTTGTAACGAAATTAAGAATCGTATTACAGTACGAATTATTCAGCAAAATATGAATGGGCGAGGCTTTTGTTATTAACAAAAGGAGGCAGCTTTAAGTGCCTCATCACAGAAAACATGCTCGTTACTCAAATTGATGCAGGGTAACCTTAGAAGACACCTCGAAATCCTCGAGGATCCATGTCTAAACCACTTGACTGAAATTAAAACGGACCATATACTGACAGAATATAATTTTGACCATATTCAGAAACAGGGGTGATTGGACGAAGAGTGAGCCTCAATTCCGATGCTTCAAAAACAGTTGGATCCGGAGTAGGTATAGGTATTAGTGGACCAAATAGCTGTATTAAATTGCCCCGCAGCTCGGAAACAACTATTTTTCAAACTGAAGTTCTTGCTATAAACTTCTGCGCCGTTGTGAACCTAGAAAAGGGACAGAAAGGTGCATCGATAAACATTTTCACGGACAATCGGGCCGCCCAAAAGGCAATTCATGCCTACACGTGTGAATCCGCAGTGATCAGAGAATGTACCGACAACCAGAAAAAACTCGCCAAATTACTCTATAGTAGGTTCTAGGTCACAGACATTTAGGGAAATGAAAAGGTGGACAAGCTGGCCAAACAAGCAGCGAGAACTCTCTTTGTTAGACTGCAACCCGGAATACAAAAAAAAAGACACTTAAAACAGGTAATCAATAGATGGGAGACCTCAGAGGTAGCCTTGTGCTGGAAAGAACTTCAAGAAGTAAGAAAACTCCATTGCAAAATTAAACCAACGATTTTATGCCTCAGCAAAGGGATCTAAGGTCACCTGGGAGCAATGCTAAGGTTCATCTACATTTGCCCTAAACCTTTGGAGTTTAAGGCTTAAGTTATAATAGATCTTATAGGACGCTGTGACGAGAGGGGCCGCTCCCCTCAGCCCGGCAGCAATAATAATAATAATAAAGTAAAAGAAATCACTACAATGTTAAAAATTTTTTATTTAATAGTTCTTGTATAAAACAGTATTTTAAAAAACTGTTACTAAACAAATCAATTATGACAATCCAATTAAAAAATAAAAAGAAACATTGGTATTATTTGTACACGTCTAAACAATTCCAATTGTTATAAAAATCGTATAAATGTTTACAACTGTTTCCACGTAAAATTAAAAACTTCCCATCATGATTTGCTTTTTAAGAATCCTACACAGACCATTTAATAGCTATACATTCCAAACGACTCATCAGATTGCACTTTGGTCTAACTACAAACAGTTTAGACGCACTCTATTTCCCAAAAACATGAAAACTGTGACGGTGTGCACTAAACAAGGTGTTGTACGCGGAATAGAATCAAAAAATTATAAAGATGGAATATTTTATAGTTTTTATGGGATACCATACGCAAAACCACCGTTAGGAGAATTAAGATTTAAGGTAAAACATTTAATAAAAACTCATTGACCTCGTGTTTTTCGCGTATTTTGGGTGGTATACCTCCAATTTATTTTTTTAGGCTCCTCAACCACCAATACCTTGGAAACATGAATTCGATGCAACATTTGAAAAAGATTGTTGTATAGCTCCGAATTTATACACGGGACAAATCGAAGGGGGTGAAGATTGTTTACATTTAAATATTTACACAAGAAATGTATCAATAAACGATTCGGAATCAATCCAATTAAAGCCGGTTATTGTATTTATACATCCCGGTGCTTTTACAACTGGAAATACGAAAACGGAATTTTACGGCCCCGATTTTTTGATGACACAAGATATCGTTTTGGTTTTAATAAGTTATCGATTAGGAATATTGGGTTGGTCTCGCTTAGATGATTCGAGTTTAGGAATTCCTGGGAATCAAGGTCTTCGTGATGTGATAATGGGCTTAAAATGGGTTAATGAAAACATCGAGTTTTTTTGTGGTGATCCAAATAATGTAACTATTTTCGGCGATAGCGCTGGTGCAGTTATTGCGCATAACGTTGTTTTACTTGCACAGTGCAAAAATCTTGTTCATAAAATAATTATTCATAGTGGTTCGGCATTATGTCATTGGGGAATTGGAAGAAGAGATTCGTTGAAAGAAGCAGCGAAATATTTGGGGTGTCCATCTCACGTTGACAAAGATATTTTAGAGTTCCTTCAAAACCAACCAATTGAAAAATTAATCCAAGGACAATTACAAGCGAAAGTTGGAATTGCAGCAAGTCTTCCAAGATATTTTTATCCAGTAATTGAAGAACCCAATAATATAGAAGAACCTCTAATAACTGAAGATCCAAGAAAAGTTATAAGCGAGGGAAAATCATTAAAAATCCCCATGTTAATCGGATATAACTCAGATGAAGGTTTATTTTTTGATTACCAAATTAAAAATAGATTAAAAAAAGACAAAAATAACTCAATTCTACCAGATTTTGAAACTTTAGTGCCTCATCCATTAGGATTTAAACGCGGCTCCCCAGAATCGATATTAATCGCTGAAAAAACCAAACAATTTTATTTTAACGGAAAATCCCCCACGATTGAAAACCGCAAACAATTCTACCGACTTTACCTCGATAATTTTTTTGGTTACGTCGTCCAAGACACCGCTCGAAGACATTTTAAAAATACAAATCAACCCATTTACTTTTTTAAATTCGCTTTTGATGGAAATCTTAACATGTACAAAAAAATTCAAGGTAGCGACCGTCCGGGCGCTTCACACTCAGACGATTTGTGTTATTTGTTCAAAATGTCTAAAAATCCACCGATTGAGAAAAATAGTGTGGAAGAAAAAGTTATGACGCAGATGATCAAATTATGGACGAATTTCGCGAAAAATGGAAATCCAAATTTCTTTCAGAATGATGATCAATTTCTGGAATGGAAACCTATTGAAAAAAATAAGCTTCATTATTTGCATATTAATGACGATTTTACTGTTGGGGTTGATCCTGATAAAGAAGCTTTTGATTTTTGGGATTCAATTTATAATATGTCGCCGATATCGAAATTGTGATGATAAAGAAATGAATAAATTAATGTATTTTTTTTTAATTAGTTAATTATAACATTTATGTTGAGTTAATTAGTTTGTTTTATTTGTTAGATGTTATCTAGTACCTATATTAAGCATAGAAAGTCCGGTTAGGGTGAATCACTTTTAGAGTTTTGACAAAAATCTTTTGTCTGAAGACTCTGAAGAGGCACATCAGGTCCACGAGAAACAGATAATAGATAAGAGATTATCTTTTGACATTTACGGTTATAACTATAGACATGACAGGAACAAAAGTAACAATCATCAGAGTGGTCTTTCGGCTCCCCCCATATCATAATAATTCTAAATCGTAAAGCAGTCTTCTTTCATTTGAGCCAGAAGTATCGATCATTGAAACACTGCATACAATAGCGCATATTTTGATATTCAAGTAGATATCTACGTTACGTGTTGGTGCATGATGAGAAGAACGGCAATGTCGAACCTGAAATGACAGTATGAGTGAGATGATGAGTGAAATGACAGTATGCTGAAAAAAGCTCGAACATATAGGCGGAGTTCAGGTCAACCCTGATCTTTCACTCAACCTAACAAAAAGAAAGAACGCAAAGCAAAAAAAAAAAAACAAAACAAACAGAAGAAAAAAAAAAGGATTTCAATACCAATTGCAAGGAAATAATGAAAACTCATTGAAGAATTAGAGATAAAAGCTAGACTTGAAAAAAATTGTTCCAGGGATAGGACCAAGGTTATACTAAAACGGCAATTTTCTTACTTCACCAATATTTCGCTTTTTAATTTAAAGCTTCCTCAAGGGTGAGGTTACAACTGCATACAAAATCAAAGTTAGATTAAAATAACACACCAAATAAAACTTACATCGATACTATGTTGTGCTGTAGCACAGCTTTAGCACAACATAGTATCAATAATGGTCATCATTTTAGGTTTGATAAAACAACTATATTGGACAAAGAGGATAACTATCATAAACGCTTATTTCTGGAAATGTTCCATATCTCCACTCAGCAGTCGACAGTTAACTTTAAGACTGACATTGGTTCCATCAGCACCATTTATTCTTGAATATTTGATTTTTACAAAAACAAAACTGGATTGTCTAATAAATTATCTAATAATGACTTTGAACCTCAACTCCCATAGTCTATGTAGTTTCCCTTACCCTTTTGTTTTTGATTTTGGCGGTGGTTGTTTGTTTGTTTTTTAATTAAGGTTTTTTAATTTTTCGACCGTTTTGATTTGATTTAAATTTAAGTTATTTAGATAATAAGAATTATGTGCGTTTTTCTTTATAACGTGTTTTTCACGCATGCGCTTCACGCGTTTCACCGTTCCGCACGTGGTTACAATATGTCGAACCGTTGGATGTTTAATTTGTGCTTTGCTTGTTTCCTAGCGGTGTAAGTTTTATTTGGTGTGTTATTTTAATCTAACTTTGATTTTGTATGCAGTTGTAACCTCACCCTTGAGGAAGCTTTAAATTAAAAAGCGAAATATTGGTGAAGTAAGAAAATTGCCGTTTTAGTATAACCTTGGTCCTATCCCTGGAACAATTTTTTTTAAGTTTAATATCGGGATCGAACAAATCTTCCTGCTTTAAATAAAAGCTAGAGGCACACATAGACATAGCTACACACAGAAGCACTCCGTCACCCACCCATCACCCAACACTTCAATGCTCTTTTAAATCAGTTCAGGGGTAGTCCACTCAAGTGCCAAGGTAAATTATTGTATATGGCGTATATCTGATAAGAAAAACATTGTTTGAAAAATTCTGTCCGGTGGGAAGGAGGCGTTAGTCTAACTCTGAAGCGAACACTAACATTATGTATGGAGGGGTACCTTCAGTGATGACCCTATAATACAAGCAGGCCTTGTGGATGTATCAGCGAGATTTCAAGTTCAGCCATTTTAACTGCTTAAAACCAAAAGACACCTGATCATATTTCCTCAGGCAGAAAATTAAACGGATGCATGTGTTTTGAAGCTTTTGAATTTTTCCCTGAAACCCAAAACAATAAAAAAGCTTTTTTGTGTGTCAGTCAAGACTATAACGATTAGAGTAAATCAATTTTAACGAGCCATAAGCTCGGCAACCAACTGGTTAGTATGTTCCCTAAAGCTTAACGCCTCATCCATGACCAATCCGAGGTTTTTGACAGACTTACCCAATGGAATAGGAGTATTTCCTATCGATAGGTGACAAAACCCATCAATTAATTTTTAACTTCGAGGTTTATTAGCATTTATCTTTAAGTAATATTCCTGAGCCCCATCGATAATGCCATGCAAGTTATATTTAAACTTATTGAAGCTTCATCAAAGTGGCCTTCAGAAAACGACAAATAAATCTGAATATCATCAGTATAATAGTGGATGCTGCAGAAATCAACAAAGCTATTGAAATTTATTGTGTATATTTTAAATAGTGTAGGGCCAAGAATCGATCCTTGTGGGACCCAGACCTTATCTCCAAAGCACTCGACTTCACCTGATCAATACTGACTGATTGAATCCTGCATTTAAGGTAATTTTTGGAAAAAGCTAATGAGACAAAATCAAGCCTGATATGGTCCAAAATTGATATTAACAAGTTTTGATTTAGAGTATCGAATGCTCTGGAGAAATCCATCATCCCCAGAAAAGTCAATCTATTGGAGTCAGTTGCAGTAACAATATCATCCACTAAATTGTTCAGAGCAGTTTCACAGCTATGTCTTTCCCTGAAACCAGACTGATTCACTGAAACAATGCGGTCAGTCTTCAGAAACTCCGTCAGTTGTCTGTTACTATTTCTTCCAAAACTTGGATAAGGATCACAAAATGCTTATGGGTCTTAGGCATGAGTACTCGTTTGGACTTGGTACCTTGGGTATCGGTTACATTTTTATAAATCTAATAGCAATACCATCAACACCCACAGCATTTAATCGTATATTATGTAATTTAGCTACAATATCACTCTCAGACACCAACTTAAATGAGAAAAAACCAGGGCCAAATTTTGCCTTACCAAAGTCATTAATCAAATTATCAACCCTACAGTAGTCATAGCATTGAGCTTCCAAAAAGAAGTTATTTAGTTTGTCGCCGTTTTTTAAGTGTTGTGGAAGAGAATGAACCTTACATTGTAATAAACAATAATTTAAGCACGTTTTTCCCACTTAATAGCGGTATTCACAAGATTTCTTAATTCTTTATAATAGTTCCAGTCAGGCTGACTTTTTGTTCTGACATGTAGGTGATATACATCATCAAAATGAAATGACTGGATGAAGTTTAAAAAGGGAGCTTGATCAAAATATTTCAAAGACCTAATATACCTAGGCAAAGTCACTGACACGTCTAACTAGTGTCATTGCTACCGTTAGGAATTGTGATCAGATTGAAATAGCCACGGAGCAGATCTCTGTAGCAATTCATTCTGCCTATACAGTACAGTAGCAGTCCACTGAAGGTGAAAAGTAATAATCGGGGCACACCCTGGTGGAACGAATCTCCTAGCTCCGAAAGACAAGAGGTCCGGAGGCTTTTTAACCGAGCCAAGACATTAGGTGAATGAGAGAAATATAAACAAGTTCTAACGAATTACACTAAAAACATACGTAAGGCAAAAAGAGAGTCTTGGAGGAGGTTCTGTGAGGGAGTGAAAGACACACCCAGCAGTGCAAGAATTCACAAGATTCTCGCTAGAGATCCGGCACTACCTCTGGGCTCACTTAAGCGGCCTGACGGTAGTTTTACGGACTCTAGCAGAGCCTCGTTAGAGCTTCTCATGCAGACTCACTTCCCAGGATGCTTGATGATGAGGGCTGATAATGCCTCAGCGGGCTATTCCTGTAAGGCAAAGCGCCCCTCAAACACGGATTGAAGTGTGGCTAGAAAAGTCGTCACTTTCACATTCGTGGATCAGGCGATTCAAACGTTTAAGCCGTTGAAATCGCCTGGAGAAGACAATATCTTTCCTGTTTTGTTACAGCATGGAAGGTCACTGTTGTTGCCAATTTTGGTAAAAATTTTTAGAGCGAGTGTCGCCTGGAAATATGTACTGGCAGAATGGACCAAGGTAAGTGTATCTTATATACCCAAAGCGGGCCGTTCGGTCCCTACTCTTAATGCCTTTTGACCCATCAGCCTAACGTCATTTCTGTTGAAAACCCTTGAAAAAGTTCTGGAACGGTATATCCGTACGGTGCCATTGGTATCTGGTCCACTGAGTCACCACCAGTATGCTTATCGAGCGGGAAAATCAGCAGAATTGGCTCTACACAACTTAGTTGGTAGAGTATCCAGGATGCTGCAGGATAAAGAAACCTTGGTTTGTGTCTTTCTGGATATAGAAGGAGCGTTCAACAACGCAATACCACAATCTCTTGAAAGAGCTGCTCTTGACAGGGGAGTGGAAGCAAATATAGCGGATTGGATCCGCAATATGCTTGATAGTAGAATAGTTACTACTTCACTCCACGGTGACACGATACGCTTCAGGCCGGGAGGTGGCTGCCCGCAGGGAGGGGTGTCATCTCCCCTGCTTTGGTCCCTTCTGGTTGACGATCTGATTGCGATAGTCGAAGCCGTTGGTGTAGAAATACAAGCTTATGCTGATGACATTGTCGTTATGGTCAAAGGAATCTGTTTGTCGAGGATATTTAAAGTCCTCCAGGTGACCCTAGATACCATTTGAGCTTGGTGTAAGGGAGAGAACCTCTCGATAAACCCGCAAAAGACAATTGTTGTGCCCTTCACCAGGAAACGAAAGTTGGATGGACTAATCCGCCCAACTATCCAAGGTGAAGAAATTCCTTTCTCAAAGCAAGTGAAATATCTAGGAGTAATACTAGACAAAACCTTGTCATGGAATGGACATTTGCAGGGAATTTTGCACAAAGCTAGACTATCCTTTTGGACTTTGTTACAAGTTTAACTTGTAATTTAGTATAGAGTTATAGTTTTTGCTTCTCTTTAAATTTTTGGTTGGAGTTTATCACGACATCTGTTGTTCGTGGTTGATTGTTCTTTTGATAAAGATCTCTACCCTATCTTTTACTACCACCAATGGTTTGGTTAGTACGCATGCGCCGATGCATTTATCTTAGGCGTAATTTTAATTTCCGTTCTCTTCTGTCGTTGCACCTGTTGCTGTATAGACGTGGTTGATACTGACCCTATTGACGCCTTAGTTTGGCCCCATTGTGAGTTGATCGAAAGTTTTGTATAACTTCAGCTCGTGGTTCGTTGTTTTACGGATATATTAAGGCCGATTACTTATTCGATCGTTGATCGAACCGATATTTTCGGATTTGAGGGTTAACTTCACGCTTCGTCCATTACAACTTGTTGGTAAGGTTTTTCTTTTCTAAAATACGCAAGTCTAATGTTCGTATATTTTATTCTCTAGATTTTTTTGAGACAGAAGAAGGGGTTGCCGTGAGATTTATTTTTTTGTAAGGACTTCTTTTTCGTTTTGAAGATCATTTCTTAATTAGTTCCTTCGTTGGATGTTCTGGTTGACCTTGAATGTCCTGTATCAATGGTCACTTTGCATCGTAGTTGGAAGAACAATATGGTATAGTCAGCTGACGTCGCTACCCTAACCTAACTTCTTATTTGGTTGTATACGATGGACTACATCTAATAACGAACTGGAATGAAATTGGTTTTGGATAACTGACGAATTCAAGACACGAATATTATTTTGAGATAAGTTTTCTTAAAGCTTCTATTTTGATAATTTTCTCTTTTATATATAATAATTTAACTTAAATGTTTTTTTTTGTTGATCTTGAGTATTAATAGTTAATGTAACTGAATTAATGTTTAAGTATTTAGATAATATTCAATAGTAGTACATATTCACATTAAATAACAGACAGAGATAATCGTAATTAAATCTGTTAATCTTTGAAGTTATTTCATTTATGTGTGATCTTGACTCGCAAGATTTTGGTTTGTTTTGTGGACCAATAAACTCCTTGATTGAAGTCAAAGATAGCTATCTATGTCTTACGTTCACTATCAAATAACATTCATTTTGTTTAATATCAATTTTATTGATTTCATTGATGATCTTATTTTTTGCAAGAATAGAAGTAAGACTTTCTTTAACCATGTTCATAACTTTCAAATTGTTTGACATCAAGTTTTAATCAACGTTCGATTTATTATTTTTTTTTACTCTCTATGTGAGATTTTGTGTCTCAAAAGGAGTCACATAAATTTATAATTTTTTTTTTATTTTGTGTATTATTATTAATTTTTTTTTAATTTTTTTTTAATTGATTTATTATATTGAATTATCACCATATTTTTTTGTATTAATACAGTAGTTCTCAACATAATTCTCCCCATTTTCTCCCCATCTCAATTGTTCGGCGCTCACATTACCTGTTCAGATATTTTATGTTTCCAAGTTCAACATATTAGATTTACTATTTTAGAAGTGGAAAAGGTAGAGCTTGGTGGCGCCCTTTTACTATCTATACTTATTGTTTTCTCACTCTTTTTGGATCGTTCTCCCACGACCCAATCTATAAGACTGAGCTATCGAGCCTTAGCTTCTAATTTTGTCACACCGAAGGTTTCGGCGCGTAACAACTTGTCGCAGTCTTTGTGGAAAAAAATGGGGTCTTACCCCTGAAAGACTGTACTTGCTCTATGTGGCTGTGGTTAGACCTATGATCACATACGGAGCAGGAGCCTGGTATAGGAAAGTCCGACAGACTTCAGTTATCAGTAAACTTTCACGAATTCAACGGATAGCTAGAACAACCATTTACAGATTTAAGCAATATGCTCAAAACTGTTCCGACATGTCCTACCAATAGGCTGCGGAAGACATTATAAGCACTGATACTGTGCTATCACTGCCGTCAGATTTGGCGGGATCACTATCAGTGATTAATGTGCGATACCAGATTGTGCTACCTGAGCGGCAGTCCTGAATCGAAAATAAAAATTCTCTGGTTCAGGCAGATATTTGCATGTTCACAGATGGATCAAAAACGCCGGAAGGGGTCGGAGCAGGAGTATACTGCTAGACACCTCGAATTCAGCAAGCCTACAGCCTGGGTACGTACTGTACTGTATTCCAGGTGGAAGTATTTGCTATTGACATGGGTGCTAAAATCCTTCTTGAGAGAGGGGTGAAGAACGTACGAATTTTCTCAGACAGTCAAGTTGCTCTCGGCCCGGGTCACTCTGGGGTTGCTGGCAATGAAGCGGCAGATGAGATAGCACGAGAAGGCAGCGGTAAAGCATTTTCATCATTTTTATTAAGTTTTACTATCAAAATGACTTAGAAAAAAGTAGAAAATAATTTAAAAGTGCACACTTTTACTTTTTCTTTTATGTTCATAGATACTATCTCTCAATAAACCCCAAATATAGTCTCAAATCATGTTTTCATTGTATTGGCCTTGATAACGTTGTTCGAAGCTCATAATGTCCTGGTGAAAACGTTCTCCTTGCTCTTCTGAATACGCTCCCATATTGTTTTTGAATTTATCTACATGAGCATGCAGTATATGTACTTTTAATGACATCCTGCAGCCCATGGCCTCAAAATTTTTTAGCATATTTTCAACTAGCTTTTTGTAGTTTTCAGCTTTGTTATTTCCTAAAAATGCAGAAACAACTGCTTTAAAACTGCTCCAACTAGCTTTTTGAGTACGATTCAACAACGTTGGAAATTTGCGGACCAACAAAAACCCCAGCTTTAACCTTTGCTTCTGATAACTTTGGAAAAAAAATTCTTAAGTATTCAAAGGTTCTGAGGTTTGATCCAGTTTTTTAACAAATTGTTTCATGAACCCTAACTTAATGTGCAGAGGCGGCATTAACACTTTTTCCGCTTCAACAATTGGCTCAAATTTTACGTTTTCTTTTCCGACACAAAGTTCTGTTCTTACAGGCCATGACCGTTGAGTATAATGCTTAGCATCCGCTCTGCTATCCCATAAGCACAAATAACACGGACTTTGTATATCCGCTTTGAAGTCCCATCAAACATCCCACCATTTTAAAATCTCCAATCAGCTGCCAGTTATACTCGCGATACTTTACACGTTCAAGCAAAATTTTTACACTTTCATAATTTTCTTTAAGATATACTGAGTGAGCGATTGGAAGAGATTTTGGACGGAATTTATTTCCGTTGTGTAATAAAACAGCTTTTAACCTTTTTGTAGAGCTGTCAATGAATAACCGCCATTCGCTAGGAACAGAAGCTATGCCAATTTCTTCGAACATACTTTTTATGTCATTGCAAAAACAAAGTCCATCTTCTTTTGTGAAAAATGTTGAGAATGTTTGATGTCTAGTCTGCTGATCCGTGATATTAACATCATCAAGCAAATTGCACTGCTTTAAGCGAGAGCCTAAAAGCTCTGCTTTACTTTTTGGCAAATTTAAATCTCTAATCAAATCATTAAAATCTTCTGGTGATGAAACTTCGAACCAGTTTCTGAAGAAGGTTGCAACATGGCATCCGAAACGTCAAACCTTTTCTTAAAAGACGCACGGCAAAACCCGAAAGTTTCTAGTGTTAGTTCTAGTATTAGTTCTAGTGATAGTTCTAGTTTTAGTTCTAATTTTAATTCAATTCACACCGGCCGTGAAAGCCTTCGTACTTATAAAAGGTATTTTCTTTTCTTTTTTTATTTTTTTTGTAGAGTCGTGTAATCAACGCTTAATGTTTGTTTAAAAATCCCAAAAATGTATCGCTTGGTCTATCGATAGCCAATTTTACCGTTTCGACCTTTTCTTCCGCCAACATATGCTCAAAAAGCACCTTCCCCAAACCCATTCTCTGTTTAGATTCGTAAATGCAAAAGTCTAAAACGCATAATGGTTGAACTTGGTAATGATGACCTTCCCGATCGAAACAGCTTCATGTCCATTATTGGCATCTCTGTCGATTAAGAAACACAATTTTTGATCAGAATTCCTTAGTCTCTCCGAAGTCGTGATGGGCTTGTTCAAACCTTGAGCACAGCAGATGAAGCATGTCCCATAGAGTATAGAATTTCGGATACTTTAGTCACAGCGTCCCACAACGCCCTTTTATCCGTATAGAACATCCCTATGTTGAAATGAAACTCTACGTCGGTTTATCCCAAAAAAAAATCGTTAGAAAATTTTCCTAAGCGGGGGAGTAACATAGCTAACTCGATTTGAAATATCGGTTTACCACACCCTCCCTCCTGAATATCCTTTGAGGGATTGATGAGTGGTTGATTATGTAGATGAGGTAGATTCGATAATTTGATATATCGAATTCAGCAGTATGAATCCTATCGTGATTATGTGTACAAAGAATAATTTGATTATATTTTTTGTTCAAAGCGTGTTAAAACAGACTACCTTCAGGTGAAAACTTAATGATGGTGGATTAAATACAACAAATTGAAGCACAAATTAAAAACAAAAATTACAACACTATTCATTTTTTAAAATTCATTTATAATAAGAAAATAAATTACAATTTCGAATTCATAGTAAACATTTCACCCCAAAACTTAGCTCCTTCTTTATCAGGATTAACCCCAACCGTTAATTCATCTCCAATATTAAGAAAATGGAGTTTATTCTTTTCGATTGGTTTCCATTCAACATCAATCAAATCGTTTTCGCCTTCAATATTATTCGGATTTCCGCTCTTAGCAAAATTCGTCCATAACTTTACCATTCTTTGAATCGTTCTTTCTTCAAAGCTATTTTCTTCAACCGGCGGATTTTTGGACATTTTAAACATATAACATAATTCATCGGCGTGAGTAGCGCCGTGATAATTAATTCCTTGTAATTTTTTATAAAGGTTTAACTTTCCATCGAAGGCGAATTTAAAGAAATAAATCGGGTTTCCCGATGTTTCAAAATGTCTTCTGGCGGTTTCTTGCATTAAAAAAGTGAAACGATTATCTTTAAATAATTTATAGAATTGTTTTTTATCGTTTAATGTTGGATTTTTTCCGTTGAAATAAAACTTTTTTACGTTTTCGGCGATTTTTAACGAATCTTCACTTCCTTTTTTAAATTTTAAAGGAACTAAATCTTCAAAATCCCTTATTAATATTGGATTTTCACTGCGTTTTAATTCTTTCCTTATTATATAATCATAATATAATCCTTCGTCTTCCATATATCCAATAATCATCGGAACTTTTATGTATTCACCTTTATTTATACGTTCCCCATAATCTTCAAATGTTAATTTTTCTTCTATATTATCATCATTTTCAATAACAGGAAAAAATTGTCTTAACATCATCGCTTTCATCCCAACTTTAATCATCATTTGACCTTCAAGAATTTTTTGCACCGGTTGGTTTTGTAAAAATTCCAATATATCTTTATCGTTATCTGAAGAACATCCTAATTTCTTAGCTAATTGTTTCATTGAATCATTTTGGCCATAAGACCAAGTTAAAAGAACTGAACCACTGTGAAGAATTATTTTGTGAAAAAGTCCTTTGCACGATGATAAAAAGGAAAGGTAATGGGCAATTACACCTCCTGCACTTTCACCGAATAATGTTATGTTATTTGGATCACCCGAAAATGATTCGATGTTTTGTTTAACCCAATTTAATCCCATGATGACGTCGCGCAGTCCTTGATTACCTGGGATTCCTAAAGAACCATCTTCAAGACGTGACCAACCTATAAAGAAATTCCAATAATTTTTCTTTATTTTTTTTTAAATGAATCAAATACCTAAAGCTCCTAATCTATAAGAAATTAATACGAGAACTATATCTTCAGTTAATAAAAAGTCTGGACCATGAATTTCAGTTTTTGTGCTTCCTACTAAGAAACCACCACCGTGGATAAAAACTATAACCGGTTTTAATTTTATGTTTTTGTTATTAACCTAAAACGAATTTGTTTAAATTTAACCTAAATTTGTTTATTTTTATGCACCTCCGGAGTATAAACGTTTAAATGAAGACAATCTTCACTACCTTCAAATTTGCCGGTATAAATATTCGGTGCAAAACATCCTTCTTTTTCGTTTGTTGCATCCAAAATTCCTTGCCATGGTTTAATTGGTTGAGGAGGCTAAAAATCAAAAATTTTTAAATTCTTCAAGATATGCAACCCAACTAACACATACTATCTAAACTGTACAAACTAACAGTTTATACCGGTTTATAAATAATAAATTTACCTTGAATCTTAACCTTCCAATTGGTGGTGTTGCATAGGGAATCCCGAAAAAGCTATAAAACGTTCCGTTTTTGTAATTTTTTTGTAAGTTTACCGCGTAAAGTCCCATATTTTATTCGAACGATAACTTTATCCATTTTCAATTCGTTAGTAATTGTAAGTTATACGAAAATTGCAGTGTGTGAGATTAGATAGGTGTATTTAAAATAAAAACTATACGCCAAAGGTTAAATAGTTGTTTTGTAATAGTCAAGGTTTTAACGTTTGTGTTGTTTATGAAGCCGCATAATGTTTAACGTCTCACATAAATATATAATTATATAAAATACATTATGGAAAATTTAATTAATTATCACAATGCTAACCATTTCGTCAAATTATCAAATACATTCATGATATTGTATCTCAAAAACTAAATGAGACAATATGAGATATATAAATATGCGAATATTGATGAAGTGGTTAACTCGTTTTTTGCAACAAACTTCCAAAAACCTAACTCCAATTTTGAGTTTAATTCCTCAATGATTGACAGAACTCATCGCATTGGACGTCTAATAAGAGCTAACAAAAAAAAAGAAGATTACAACTGAAGTTCCCAAGCCACGTCCAGTAATTGTCAAATTTGTATCCTATGCTTATAGGAAGGTGATTTGGTCCAATAAACGGGTGTTAAAGGGTACCAAAGTGCTTATTACCGAATCTCTTACTAAAAGGCGAATGGAACTGTTTAGACTGGCTAAGAAAGTGTTTGGCTACGAATTTTGGTAGCAGCGGTTGATTATTAATCGGATGAATATGTCTTTACGTTTTTTTATATACTTATGTAAGTTTTTGGAAATTATTATTATTGTATAATGATTTGGGTTTTCTTCAGCATATATCAATGTATTTTGCAGTGGTCAATTTTGTACAATTTTGTTTAACTTTGATAGCTTTTGATAAGGCATTCTTTATGCATCAAATTTATTTTTGTTTTTGAATAACTAAGGTGATTTGTTGTTGTTGTCTCATCTTTTTCCTTTTCTATTCTATTAACTTTTTTTGAACAAGCACTTTGTTTTTATTTTCTATCTTTCTTGTTTTTACAAGTGGTAAGCTGTTGATGAAGTTTGGTCATTTGAATGTTAGGTCACTTCCTGCTCATTTTCCTGCTTTAAGAAACCTAATTCTTCAGGGTGATTTTGATGTTTTTGCAATATCAGAGTCTTGGATATATCCGAATACTGATATCACTCCTTATTCTGTAGTGGGTTATCACAGTTGTTTTGTTGGACGTTCTAGAGTTACACCCTGTTGAAATCTTGGTGGAGTTGGGTTCTTTATTAGATATAATTTGACTTACGTTACTCGATTAGAAACGGTTTCTCAGCATATTGAATGCCTATGCCCAGTTAACCAGTGGCGTTGCTCCGACAGTGGTGGGAGTGTTGTACCGTTCCAATGGTTCTATTTTACAGTTTCTTACGAACTTGGAAGACCTACTTTCCAGTCTGATACCAACATCTGAAAGATTTTTGTGCCTTGGTGATTTCAACATTAATGGATTCGATTTTAGTGGTATTTATGGGAACAGATTTCTTCCTCTAATTGAACAGTTTAGTTTAAAGCAAATAATTACGTCACCTACCCGTGTAACCTCCTTTTCGGCGACATTAATTGACTTTATTCTTATAGACGATGATGCCCTTATTGAGGATCATTGTGTCATTCCTGTTCATAACGTTGCTGATCACAGCATGGTTTATGTTACCTTAAGTGATGATATTCCTCGGGGAGTTCCACCGACATTAACTTTTATAGACTTCAGGCATTTTAACCACCAATGCTTATTGGATGACCTAAACTATCTAAATTGGCACTAAACTTTCTTATTTCTGATTCCATTGATGATAAGGTATATTTTTTTAATAATTTCATATTATCTTTATTTAGAACTTATGCACCACTCCGAACAGTTACACTGCGAAAGAATTATCGCCCGTGGATAACTGATACTATTAGAATTCTCATTAATTTATGAAATAATGCCTATTCGAAATACAAGTTTACCAGGGATCCCTCTCATTTTGAGTCGTACAAAGACTTGAGAAACTATACTAACTCAGCAATCCGTCGGGAAAAAAAGCCTTATCTTTCTTTAATATTTCTCAACAATAATTCTCATAAACTCTGGAACAATCTCAAGTCGTTTGGAGTATGTGGTGCTAAAACGAAGTCAGTTCCGTCTACTGTGGGAAATGCTAATGACATAAATAATTTTTGTTTTGCATTTCTACAATACTATACTCTGTTTTTAAACCAGGAGGAGTAAACGCGAAAGTCGGATTTACACTAGGAAAAATCACCAGAAAATATCACTAGATATTTTGGCGGTAAATTTAAATTAATAATTGTTATTATTTATTTATTTACTTATTATTGTATTTATTTTCGTTTATTATAGTCAACACTAAACATACAAATTAACATTGAAGGTATGAGTGTATTTATTTTAAAATATAATTTTACAAAAGAAAATAAAATAATGACATGAAACTGTCGAATGATCAACATAGAAAAAATTATATATATTATGTATATAGAAGGTCAGCTCCCCACTATTTTTTGGTACATTCAGCGCTTCCAAGGGGATTGTGAGGGAACTAATTAGATTAAAGCGCGAAATTTAAATATAGGTATTTCTATACCGGTTTATATCAATACTTTATTTTGAAGAGGTCAGGTGCATTTTCCAAATAAATGGAAAAAGTATGAATTTAAAGTTTTTCCAAGAAAAATTAAAATTCATAATTTTTAACATACAATGATGCAACAAAGTCTACATACACCCCAGAAAATGATAATATCTCAGTTTCTGAAATGTAATTCAATGAATTTTTTAAACGAAGAATATTAGAAGTCTATATTAATATTAATACAAAGTAGAAACAGTTCGACTTGTGCTACGAAGTGAAGACTACAGCAGTAGATTTAGTCGCACGTCACTCAAGACGGCTAAACCCGAATTATTCTAATTCTAGTGTTAGTTCTAGTGATAGTGCAAAACTAGAACTAACACTAGATCTAGAACTAGAAACATTCGGATTTAGCCGCACGTCTCTCAAGACGGCTAAACCCGAATTATTCTAGTTCTAGGTCTTGTGTTAGTTCTAGTGATAGTGCAAAACTAGAACTAACACTAGATCTAGAACTAGAAACATTCGGATTTAGCCGCACGTCTCTCAAGACGGCTAAACCCGAATTATTCTAGTTCTAGGCCTTGTGTTACTTCTAGTTTTAGTTTAATAAAAATATACAACAATATAGCGCTTAATTACAGTTAAAACTAGAACTAACACTAGACCTAGAACTAGAATCATTTGGGTTTAGCCGTGCGTCTGTAGACGTCTGTAGACGCACGGCTAAACCCGAATGTTTCTAGTTCTAGGTCTAGTGTTAGTTCTAGTTTTACACTAGCACTCTTATCTATGTAGAACTAACACTATACCTAGAACTAGAATCATTTGGGTTTAGCCGCATGTATGTAAAGACGGCTAAACCCGAATGATTCTCGTTCTAGGTATAGTGTTAGTTCTAGTTTTACAGTAGCACTGTTATTTATGTAGAACTAACACTATACCTGGAACTAGAATCATTTGGGTTTAGCCGCACGTCTGTAAAGACGGCTAAACCCGAATGATTCTAGTTCTAGGTATAGCGTTAGTTCTAGTTTTACACTAGCACTGTTATTTATGTAAAACTAACACTATACCTGGAACTAGAATCATTTGGGTTTAGCCGCATGTCTGTAAAGACGGCTAAACCCGAATGATTCTAGTTCTAGGTATAGTGTTAGTTCTAGTTTTACAGTAGCACAGTTATTTATGTAGAACTAACTCTATACCTGGAACTAGAATCATTTGGGTTTAGCCGCACGTCTGTAAAGACGGCTAAACCCGAATGATTCTAGTTCTAGTGTTAGTTCTAGTGATAGTGCAAAACTAGAACTAACACTAGATCTAGAACTAGAAACATTCGGATTTAGCCGCACGTCTCTCAAGACAGCTAAACCCGAATTATTCTAGTTCTAGGTCTTGTGTTAGTTCTAGTTTTAGTTTAATAAAACTATACAACAATATAGCGCTTAATTACAGTTAAAACTAGAACTAACACTCTTATCTATGTAGAACTAACACTATACCTAGAACTAGAATCATTTGGGTTTAGCCGCATGTCTGTAAAGACGGCTAAAGCCGAATGATTCTAGTTCTAGGTATAGTGTTAGTTCTAGTTTTACACTAGCATTGTTATTTATGTAGAACTAACACTATACCCGGAACTAGAATCATTTGGGTTTAGCCGCACGTCTGTAAACACGGCTAAACTCGAATGATTCTAGGTCTAGTGTTAATTCTAGTTTTACACTTGTAGTTCTATGTTTTAAGAGACGCACGACTAAACCGAATGTTTTTGGTTCTAGGTCTAGTGCTAGTGTTAGTCTACTTTTATTTGTATATTTTTATTGAGCTATAACAGACACTAGACTTTTTTTAAGACTGTTTGTAGACTTTTTTGAGTTAAAGATATGATTATGTTTTGTGTTCCCCTTGATTAATAATAATTTATATAGTTTTTATGTAAAATATGGAAATAATATCGACTTCTTACATGTTTTGTTAAAAAATGTCATTGAATTACATTGCGGGAGCTGAAATATTATCATTTTCCGGGCTGTATGTAAACTTTATGGTATCACTGTATATTGCTCTCATTGGCCAAGAGCGCCAATTTATCTATCGGATAAACTTATCAGGAGGTGGCAAAAGATTAAACTTATTTAAACACTTATCTAAAGGATATAAAACACTAAGCCAAAAGGAAGTAAGGAAGAAAATTTGCTTATAGAACGAGATTATCACACCAAACGACAAAACAACAATGTAACGTTTGCTTTCACCTCTGAGTTTGACGTTACATATAAATTTTTTTATGGTTACAAGCGCGTTATTTGTGTAAATAATACAGATTGCTGCAAATTCAGTCTACAACCGTCTACAACGTCACCCAGTGGATTGTGAGGGTACTAAATCTCGGTCTACATTTTTATAGTATAGTAGAAACCACGAGAGCTGGCAGTGACAGATCGCAATCACGATCTGAATC